GCCTAATGTGGGACTAGAACTCACCTCTCCTGGTGATTGGTTCAAAGTCAGCCAGCTGCCTTTTATACCTAAGGTGGGACTGGAACTCCCTGTCTCCGGGTGATTAGAGCAAAGTCACCCAGGCAGCTTTCTTACTTAAGGGGGGACTAGAACTCACTGTCTCCTGGTGATTGGCCCAAAGTCACACAGCAGCTTTCATGCCTAAGGCAAGACTAGAACTCACCTCTCTTGGTGATTGGCCCAAAGTCACACAGCAGCTTTCATACCTAAGGTGGGACTAGAACTCACCTCTCCTGGTGATTGGTCCAAAGTCACCCAGTTGGCTTCATTCCTAAGGCAGGACTAGAACTCACTGCCTCCTGGTTTCTAGCATAGTGCCTTTACCTCTAGACTCAACTGGATTTCACAGTTGCACCAATCCCAGAGGAACACAATCGCCTTCCTCTTTGAAATCAAATGCAACCAAGATCATGGCATCCGGCCCTCTCAATTCCTGGCAAATAGATGGGGAAGAAATGGAGGTAGTGACAGATTTTATCTTCCTGGGCTCCACGATCACTGCAGATGGGGACTGCAGCCAAGAAATTAAAAGACGCTTGCTCCTGGGGAGGAAAGCTATGGCAAATCTAGACAGCATACTGCCAACAAAAGTGCGTATAGTCAAGGCCATGGTTTTCCCAGTTGCAATGTATGGCTGTGAAAGTTGGACCATAAGAAAGGCTGAGCGTCAAAGAATGGAGGCCTTTGAACTCTGGTGCTGGAGAAGACTCCTGTGAGTCCCCTGGACTGCAAGGTGATCCAACCGGTCAGTCCTAGAGGAGATCAACCCCGACTGCTCTTTAGAAGGCCAGATCCTGAAGTTGAAACTCAAGAACTTTGGCCACCTAATGAGAAGGAAGGACTCACTGGAGAAGGGCCTGATGCTGGGAAAGATGGAGGGCAAGAGAAGAAGGGGACGACAGAGGATGAGGTGGCTGGATGGAGTCCCTGAAGCAGGAGGCGTGAGCTTAAATGGACTCCAGAAGATGGTAGAGGACAGGAAGGCCTGCAGGAACGTTGTCCATGGGGCCGCAACGGGTCGGACATGACTTGGCAACTAACAACAACTCAATTGTTTTTAAGTTTTGCTCTGCTCCAATGATTTCTTTTATCAGAACAGGCTTTTATTGACAATTCTCTTTTTCCCCCGTCTTCTTTTCCTCCTCCAGATTATTCTTAATTCCATGCACAAATACCAGCCCAGGTTGCACATAGTGAAAGCGGATGAAAACAACGCATTTGGCTCAAAGAATACAGCTTTTTGCACTCACGTGTTTCCAGAAACCTCCTTTATATCAGTGACATCCTACCAAAATCATAAGGTAGGTTTGTAGTTCGCTTCAAACCCCACCCCTTTTTTTTGCTTTGTGAATTCGATGTAGGATGCAAATTAAACATCAACAAGGTAAGGTTTTTTTAGAATGTCTTTTAATCTGAAAGGGTCAATTCATCTTCATCCCAGCAAGCTCATGTGAATTGTGAATTATCACTCTCAAAAATATGAAGTTTTCTTTTCCACAATTGTCTTGGTCATTTCCACATGTGCAGGCTGTGCGCAGTCCAGAAATTAATTGTAGGCAGTACAGTATAATTTTTTTCCCCTGTTTCTTCTGACCTTATTTAAGCATTGAATTTTTAATAGGATAGTATTGGGCCAAAATGAAACGAAAGCAGTTTTTTTTTTTGTTCTCTCTCAAGAGTGGAGTTTAAATAAACCCCAAATTAAATTTCTACTTGAAATTCAGTTCAACGCCTGCTGATTTAATGGAAAAATCTAAATAATTTTTTGGCAACAACCTGGAGGAAATAGTTGCCATTCATTGTTGTAATATTCATTTCAGGCTAGGCTACACTGTTGGGATTTTCTCTTCAGCTTCCCCAACCAATTATTAACCAACCATTCCTCCAAAATGCTGAGAAATCAAACCTGCTCTCAAAAAATTAAAAATTAACTACTGAATAATTCTAGGATTCTCTGTATTGAGGAACGTTCTCCAGAAATTGTTCTATTCGAGACCTGTTATTATGCTCATTGTTTTTAATATTGTGCACTGCCTAGAATAGTGTCTCTTAATCTTGGCGACTTTAAGATGGGGGGATTTCAGCTCCCAGAATTCCCTAGCCAGCCATGTTGTGGAGTTTTAATGTTGTAACCTGCCTAGAGTCACCTATCTGTGAGTTGGGCGGCCATATACATTTCTTTAATAAATACATATATAAAATCTCTTGCAATGTGAACATGAAGAAAAGGTGGAGCCTTTTGTAAAGGTCAAGGAAGTGGGGGGGGGAGTGGAATTAGAATGGAAGCCATTGGAAAAGATTTGTCCATTGCCTTGCCCAGAGATATCTTCCAGGTCAAAAAAGTCAAAATGGCAGTCAGAACATGGGGTTCAAGTCCCACACTTCAAAGAGCTGCAGAACCTGGACCACATCATTGTAGCTGCCATCTTGAGTTTTTTGACACCAGCAAAAGATTGGAGCCCCGCCTTCTTTAGATGATTGAAACCCCACCCTCTCCAGGTGTTTGAAGCCCCACCCTCTCTAGATGATTGAAGCCCCACCCTCTCCAGGTGTTTGAAGCCCCACCCTCTCCAGGTGACTGAAGCCCCACCCTCTTCAGATGATTGAAGCCCCGCCTTCTCCAGATGATTGAAGCCCCACCTTCTCTAGATGATTGAAGCCCCACCCTCTCCAGATGATTGAAGCCCCACCTTCTCTAAATGATTGAAGCTCCTCCCTCTTCAGATTGAAGCCCCGCCTTCTTTAAATGACCGAAGCCCCACCCTCTCCTGGTGTTTGAAGCACCACCCTCTTCAGATGATTGAAGCACCACCCTCTCCAGATGATTGAAGCCCCACCTTCTCTAGATGATTGAAGCCCCGCCTTCTTTAGATGATCAAAGCCCCACTCTCCAGATGATTGAAGCCCCGCCTTCTTTAGATGATTGAAGCCCCACCTTCTTTAGATGATTGAAGCCCCACCCTCTCCAGATGATTGAAGCCCCACCGTCTCTAGATGATTGAAGCCCCACCCTCTTCAGATGATTGAAGCCCCGCCTTCTCTAGAGGATTGAAGCCCCACCCTCTCCAGGTGTTTGAAGCCTCACCCTCTCTGCGTGACTGAGGCCCCACCCTCTTCAGATGATTGAAGCCCCGCCTTCTTTAGATGATTGAAGCCCCACCCTCTCCAGATGATTGAAGTCCCACCCTCTTTTGCTTATGTCAAAACCCTCAAGATGGAAGCCACAATTAGGCGGTCCAAGCTTTGACTTTTTTGCCCTCTCCCTGATCCTGTGGCTGCTTTCTTGAAATATTGTGGCAAGTTAGCATGAAGACAGACCTGGGATAGCACTAGCAATAGCACTTAGACTTATAATATACCACTTCACACTGCTTTACAGACCTCTCTAAGCAGTTTACAGAACCAGCATCTTGCCCCTAATAATCTGGGTCCTCATTTTACCAACCTCGGAAGGACGGGAGGCTGAGACGGTGAGGACTTAGCAAATCCAGAGTGAGAAAGAAAATTTTGAAAATGTTTCTCCTGTCAGGTTCCAGAGCTGGGCCTGAGGCGGCTTTCCTTCACTGTCACCCTGCACGATCCACCCAAAAAAACAGAATTCCTTTGTTTTTCTTATAGGTAGTCCTTGACTTACAACCATTCATTTAGTGACCGTTCAAAGTTACAACCGCACTTTAAAAAGGGACTGATGACCGGTTTTCACACTTACGTCCATTGCAGCATCCCCGTGGTCACATGATCAAAATTCAAATGCTTGGCAACTGGCATGTACTTATGACAGTTGCAGTGTCCTGGGGTCACGTGATCCCCCTTTTGCGGCCTTTCTGACAAGGAAAGTCAGTTGGGGAACCCAGATTCACTTCACAGCCATGTGACTCACTTAACAACTGCAGTGATTCACTTAGCAACCGTGGCAAAAAGGGTCATAAAATGGGGCAAAACTCACTTAACAACCGTCTCGCTGAGGCTCAGTTGTAGCCGTAAGTCAGGGACTACTTGTAATTCTTGCTATACTTCACGAGGCACCCAACTGGAGCCAAGGACAATGAAGAAGGGGGGGGGCTGTGTTTTTCCATCCCCAACTTAAGCCTGAAATCTTTTCACAGAGAAAAATCTTTCTTTTTTTTTTTAATTGAAAATTTTATAAAAGGTTTACAATATAATTCCCCCCCTCCCCAAAACCACTCCCCCTCCCTCCCCCCCCCACTTCCCAGAGCCAATCACAGGGTTAACAATACAATAACCATACTCTATCTAACATTAATCAACTATTAGGATAACAAATCTATAACATCCTTTAACTCTCTTTTAAACAAATATACTAGTATTAAACACAATAATTATAACATCATATTAATAATTATAAATAAAAATAAGTAACCTATTATAACATATAAACTACATTAATACTCTGAGATTTACTCAAAAACCAAATGAAACTTTTTAGTCCCATATTTACTCTCAATATAATCTATCCATCTTCTCCAAACCGAAATATATCTTTCTTGTGAATAGTCCTTCACATAAGCGGAAATCTTGGCCATTTCTGCTAAATTTGAAACTTTAAGTGACCATTCTTCTATAGTGGGCAGATGTTCCGTTTTCCAATATTGAGCTACTAGTAGTCTTGCAGCAGTTATCAAGTTCAACATCAAATCCATTTCTTTTATATCCAGATCTTCCATAATACCCAGCAAGAATATCTGCGGTTTAAACTTTATCTTTTTCTTAAAAATATTTTGAAGATTTTCCCCCACCCATTTGATGCTCTGCTTCTTGGCAGCTGATCGTTATTTATTTGCTACCGTCCATCAACCGAGAGTCAGAAAGTCTTCCAGAATCTTCCGCAAATCGGTCTGACCCTGGTAAATCCAGGCCTGGCTTCCTTTTTACGGGGGGGGGGGCTTTAAAAGGAGACCTCCAGATGCCTCCAAAGTCCTGGAAAAAAAAGAGGATTGCAAGCTTAAAGAGCCATTAAATTTATGGAAGGAACTGGCCCGGTGAATTTTATTTTATTTCCCCCCCCCTCCGGCGGCTTGCTTCCTGATGAAATCCAAAGCACTGGCTTTTTAAAAAAATTGACAGGGTTCGTGTCATTTTAGAAAAAGCCAGGCCGGATACAGAAGTGGGGAGAAGGAAAAGAGGTCTGGGGGTGGGGGGTGGGGAATGATCCTGCTTTAGCGGAAAACAGGCCAAAAAAAAAAAAAAAGCTTGATCAAGGCAGCAGCTAGGAGGAACCCGGAGCCCCTATAACTTGTTTCACCTGGGGCGGGATTGTCAGTTGCAAAGTGAAGCTGTCCAGAAGCCGCCTGCATTTTGAGGGCCTTTAAAAAAAAGGGATCAGCCTGAGGACCCTCTTAAAACGTCAGTCTTGAGGAGGGGGTAATATTTCTACATTAAATGAGGTTGAGACGTGGCTTGCTTAGCGCCCCGGCTTCAAAGCTGCTCTCCCGGCACTCCAGGAACAGATTGTTCCAGGCTCGTTGGCTTCCATCTTTATAGGAATAAAGCAAAAAAAAAGCTTCATTTGGTGCCTAATTGCGCAGAGAGTGAGAGAGAGACAAAAACCTAGACAAACATGAGATAAAAGAAATGGGTCTCTTTCTATCGCGGTGTGTCCCAAAGGTGCTTTTTCAAGAGGCAACTGGACTTTCTTTGTTTTTCCTTGAGGACGTTTTGCTCCTCATCCAAGAAGCTTCTTCGGTTCTGACTGAATGGTGGAGAAGGGAACTGGAGAAGAACCGAAGAAGCTTCTTAGATGAGAAGCGAAATGTCTTCAAAGAAAAACAAAGAAAGTTCAGTTGCCTTTTGAAAAAACACTTTGGGGACAAATGTGACCTGGAAGACAGAGAATCTCCAGAGACTCCTGTCATTATGATTATTTTGATAGCGGAAGTCCTCGACTTATAAGCGTTTGTTTAGCGACCATTCAGAGTTACAACAGCGTGGGGGAAAAAAAGTGATATCCAATCAGTACTCACACGTACAACCATTGCAGCATCCCCATGGTCATGTGATCGAAATGTGGGCGCAACTGGCATGTTATTCACAACGGTGGCAGCGTCCGGGCTCACGTGATTCTTGGAATGTTGTCGTGCACTCGGTCATACAAACAATGGGCAGATTGTTGTTCCCTTTCTCGTTGCAGATCAACCCTGAGTGCAGTTTTTTTTAGCATGACAGGATTAGCTCAGTGAGACACTTTAACTAGCATAGCAATAACACTTAGACTTATAGACCGCTTCACAGTGCTTTACAGCCCTCTCTAAGCGGTTTACAGAGTCAGTTCCCCAACAATCTGGGAAGAATGGAAGGCTGAGTCCGCCTTGAGCCGGTCAGGATCGAACTGCTGGCAATGGGCAGAGTCAGCCAGCAATACCACATTCTAACCACTGCGCCACCATGAGAAGGAAGGAAGGGAGGAGAAAAGGGAGGGAGAGAAGGAAGGAGAAAGGGAAGGAGAAAAGGGAGGGAAAGAAGGAAGGAAGCAATAGCAATAGCACTTAGACTTATATACCGCTTCACAGTGCTTTACAGCCCTCTCTAAGCGGCTTAGAGAGTCAGCTTGTGGCCCCCAACAATCTGGGTCCTCATTTTACCGACCTCAGAAGGATGGAAGGCTGAGTCAACCTTGAGCCAGTCAGGATCGAACTGCTGGCAGTTGGCAGAATTAGCCTGCAATACCACATTCCAACCACTGCGCCGCCATGAGAAGGAAGGAAGGAAGGAAGGAGCAAAGGGAGGGAGAGAAGGAAGAAGGGAAGGAGAAAAGGGAGGGAAAGAAGGAAAGGAAGGAAGCAATAGCAATAGCATTTAGACTTATATACCGATTCACAGTGCTTTACAGCCCTCTCTAAGCAGTTTACAGAATCAGCATCTTGCCCCTAATAATCTGGGTCCTCATTTTACCGACCTCGGAAGGATGGAAGGCTGAGTCAACCTTGAGCCGATCAGGATCGAACTGCTGGCAGTGGGCAGAATTAGCCTGCAATACTACATTCTAACCATTGTGCCACCACGGGCCTTAACAGTGTGACAGGATTTTTATTTATTTATTTTTGCTTGAGGTTCATCAGCACCTGGGTTGAGGACCACCCTGTGGGGTGGGTGGGAAGCCCGATCTAGTGAACTTCCTGTGAATGGGAACTATGAAGTGGTATAAGAGTACATCAGGAAGTGGTCCAGAATCCCCATTGTGTCTATGACCAGAGTAGGCCTCTGCTTTCTTGGACTTTGATTATTTTTTTGGACAGGGTTTATGTTCTCTTTCCGAAAAAAGAAAGCAGTTGATTTTTTACTATTGAGCAGTCGGCTGCCTCAAATGGAGCCAAGGTGCACAAAATGCCAAGTCAAAACAGAGATGCTTCCTTAACTTGGAATGTTGGTTTTAAGTATTGGATCGTAGCTTCATCGTGGCAAAAATGGAGAAATCTGGTGTTCCTGAGTCCACACAAGGATGCTGGCTGGGGAATTTTGGGAGTTACAGTCCACTCATCTTAAAGTGTTACCTGTAGTGTGTTCTGGATGGCATTCAGAGGGATGCGGAAAAACTTAATTTTGCTTCCCCCTTTTTCGTGATTTTTTTTTAATACTACTTTTTCCAGTAGCTTAGTACGATATGTTTTAAGACTCACTGTGGGCCTATTAATGTTCTCCCTATCGTGTCAAGGGCTGAGAGGGTATGCAAGGGGAATAAAATAAATAACTAGCCCACCAAGAATAAGAGCAGAAGGACTCCGGGTTGCAACGGAGGGGAAAAGGGAACTTGGTTGTAAATCTCTTGTAGCGAGAAGCCCGGAAGAGGGAGATGGAAAAAGAGCTTCCTAGCCAGAAAATTCTGCCAGCTGCAGCTGGGAAGCGCTTCTTGTGAATAACATCACAAAAAAAAAATAAAACAAAACCAAGTTAAGATACGTTTGGCTCCATGCTGGTTTACAGGGAGAGCGATGGTCTTTTGTGGTCTGCAGAGATTTATTAAGAGTGGGAAGCCCTCATCTCCAGTAAGAAGATAGTTTTTCAGGCATTGCTTGAGGAACATCTGCGGGGGAGGGTCAAGTTCCAGCTGTGGGATTTCCAAGTGGTCTCCTTTCCTCCCATCCTCCTTAGCATAGGAGATCAGACAAGGTTGCTTCAAGACTGCCACCTTCTGTTGATCGAAGGAACAGGCGAGGTTACAAATGTAATCTCTGTTCATTTTATTTTATTTTTTTGTAATATATTTTATTGATTTTAAAAAATAAAACATAAATCACTTAATAATTGGTGAACAGTGTGTTGTCTGGGTTACATTTGTAAAACAATCACGAACAATTGGTTTCTATAATCCATAATCCACATAGTAGTTTTAGTTGATTTCCTCTTTTCCCAAAATATGCTCTTTTGCAAACCTTGAGTTAATACAATTCTTATCGTTTTGATAGATAACAATTAAATATATAATTTAGGGCCTCTTCCTATCGCTGTGTCCCAAAGGTGGTTTTTCAAGAGATAACTGGATTTTCTTTGTTTTGCCTTGAGGACGTTTTGCTTCTCATCCAAGAAGCTTCTTCGGTTCTGACTGAATGGTGGAGAAGGGAACTGAAGAAGAACCGAAGAAGCTTCTTAGATGAGAAGCGAAATGTCTTCAAAGAAAAACAAAGAAAGTTCAGTTTCCTTTTGAAAAAGCACCTTGGGGACAAACGTGACCTGGAGGATGGAGAATCTCCAGAGACTCTTGTCATTACGGTTATTTTGATAGAGGAAGTCCTCGACTTACAAGCATTTGTTTAGCGACCATTCAAAGTTACAACAGCGTGGGGGGAAAAAAGTGATATCCAATCAGTACTCACACGTACAACCATTGCAGCATTCCCATGGTCATGTGATCGAAATGTGGGCGCAACTGGCATGTTATTCCCAACGGTGGCAGCGTCCGGGCTCACGTGATTCTTGGAATGTTGTCGTGCACTCGGTCATACAAACAACGGGCAGATTGTTGTTCCCTTTCTCGTTGCAGATCAACCCTGAATGCAGTTTCTTTGCGCATGGCAGGATTAGCTCAGTGAGACACATTAAATATCCTCTTTAAGATCCTTTGAGGAAATATAATATTCTGCCCTTTTAATATTTCCTTCTCTCGGGGAGGGGGGGGCTGACTTCCCACAGGCCATTCTTGGAGGATTTCAAGCAAGGTTGGGCAGCTATTTGTCTGGGATAGTATAGGGTTCCTCCTTGGATGGGGGGGGCTGGACTAGAAGACCTCAAGGTCCCTTCAAGCCCTATGATTCTAGGATTCTTTTGGCCTGCCAAGACCACAGGCAATGGACCAGCTGTGTGGCGGTTATAGCAAAGGCTGAACGTTTTGGCTGTTTCTTTTTTCCATTTTGGGGAGTCAGGCAGAGGGAAGTAAAGCAAAACAGATGGAGCTGTAATATTCCTATTATCTATTTCTAAAGCCCCAAATTGGGCTGTCAACATTCCTTGTCTGCCAAATTTCATCAGCGCAATCTTGGTGGGATGCTGGGTCAAGTAAATTCCGGAGGGGAGGCCTTCCAGGTCCCCAAGAGTGGGTGTGAGAAGGGGATATTTGGTTTATTTTATTTAATATATATAGCAAAGTCAGTGGGGGAAGCTAGACTTGCTTAATGATCGCACGATTCATTTAACAACTGCAGCAATTCGCTTAACTGCGGTGGCAAAAAGCTCGTAAAAATGGGGCAAAAGCCACTTATACCAACTGCCTCATTTAGCAACTGAAATTTTGGACTGAATTGCAGTTGTAAGCCGAGGACGACCTATAACAGGCTCCACATCCTGATCGAGTTTGACCTTTCCTGTTCTTAAGGTGCCAAAGCTATGAAACCTCTGTTTGCCTTCAACAGACCAAGAATCCTGAGTTGTGTCAAACTGGATGTAACTTTTTCTTCTTCTTCTTCTTTCCCTTGACAGATCACCCAGCTGAAGATAGAGAATAACCCGTTTGCCAAAGGCTTCCGAGGGAGCGACGACACCGATCTCCGCGTGGCAAGATTACAAAGGTGGGATAAAAGGAAAATTTTGAAAAAAAAAATGTCCAAGGTCCCTGATCAAAGAGAGAAGCAAGCTGGAATTAAGGAGAAACTTCCTGACAGTGAGGACAATCAACCAGTGGAACAGCTTGCCACCAGAAATTGTGGGCGCCTCATGGCTGGAGGTCTTTAAGAAGAGACTGGACAGTCATCTGCCTGAGATGGTATAGATTCTCCTGCTTGAGCAGGGGGCTGGACTAGAAGATCTCCAAGGTCCCTTCCATCTCCTATTCTATTCTATTCTATTCTATTCTATTCTATTCTATTCTATTCTATTCTATTCTATTCTATTCTATTCCATATATTCTATTCTATTCTATTCTATTCTATTCTATTCTATTCTATTCTATTCTATTCTATTCTATTCTATCCAACTCTGTAATTCTATTATTCTATTCTATGATCACTTCTTCCCTTTTCAATTGGAGGTGGAGAAAACTGCTCTTATATAGAATAACAGAGTTGGAAGGGACCTTGTAGGTCATCCAGTCCAACCCCCTGCTCAGGCAGGAAACTCTAACCAGTGATGGCGAACCTTTTAGAGACCGAGTGCCCAATCTGCAACCCAAAACCCACTTATTTATCGCTGGGTGCCAGGTGGGCGTGGACCACTGGGTGGGCGTGGCTATGGTGGTCATGGCAGATTGGATGAGAGTGGCCAAGGTGGGCGTGATCACCTCGATGTTGCTCATGGGGAGGGACGCCTGTGGGGGCCCGGCAGGGTTGGGGGAGATCCAGGGGGTCTCTGGCTGGTGGGGCAGTGGACAGGAGGCTTGTCCTGCAGGGTGAGGCGAGGCAAGGCGAGGCAGGGCGGGGGTGCCATTGTCACAGGGCAAGGTGAGGCAGGGGCCGGGGCGGCTGCTGCCTGACACCATCGACCTCTGCACACCGAGGCCAGCAAGCGCAAGCGTGCTGGGATACATCCGGCCATGTGGGACCTTGGCGAGTTAGCGGGCGCCTGGTTGAAGAGGGATGGTTGCCATCTCCAGGGCATGGCCTGTGTGCCCACAGAGAGGGCTCTGAGTGCTGCCTCTGGCACACGTGCCATACGTTCGCCACCACTGCCCTACACCTTTTCTGACTGATGGGAGTCCAATCTCTTCTTGAAAGCCTCCAGTGATGAAGCTCCCACGATATCTGAAGGCAAGCTGTTCCACTGGTTGATTGTTCTCACTGTCAGAAAATTACTCCTTATTTCTAGGTTGGATCTCTCCTTGATCAGTTTCCATCCGTTATTCCTTGTCTGGCATTCAGGTGCCTTGGAAAATAGGTTGACCCCCTCCTCTCTGTGACAGCCCCTCAAGTATTTGGGACACTGCTATCATGTCTCCCCTGGTCCTTCTTTTCATTAGACTAGACATTTCCAATTCCAGCAACCGTTCTTTTTATGTTTTAGCCTCCAGTCCCCTAATCATCTTTGTTGCTCTTCTCTGTACTCTTTCTAGAGTCTCAACATCTTTTTTACATCATGGTGACCAAAACTGGTTGCAGTATAATAACAATAACAGCAGCAGCAACAACAATAATAATAAAGTTGGAAGGGACGTTGGAGGTCATCTAGTCCAACCCCCTGCTCAGGCAGGAAACCCTATACCATTTCAGACAAATGGCTGTCCAGTCTCTTCCTAAAAACTTCCAGTGTTGGAGCATTCACAACCTATGGAGGCAGGTTGTTCCACTGATTAATTGTTCCCACTCTCAAGAAGTTTCTCCTTAGTTCTAGGTTGCTTCTGTCCTTGTTTAGTTTCTATCCGTTGCTCCTTGTCCTGCCTTCAGGGGCTTTGGAGAACAGCTTGACTCTCTTTTCTTTGGGGCAGCCCCTGAGATACTGGAACACTGCTATCATGTCCCCCCCTCGTCCTTCTCTTCATTAAACGAGACAGACCCAATTCCAGCAACTGTTCTTTATATGTTTTATCCTCCGGTCCCCTAATCATCTTTGTTGCTCTTCTCTGTACTCTTTCTAGAGTCTCAACATCTTTTTAATATTGTGGTGTCCAAACTGGATGCCGTATTCCAAGTGTGGTATTCTAGGTGTGGTCTTACTAAGGCTGTATAGAGTGGTAGTAGTACCTCCCGCGATCTTGATTGAATCCCACTGTTAATGCAACTTAGGATTGCCTTGGCTTTTTTGGCTGCCGCCGTTCGGCCCAGCGGCCTCTGACTTCTCTCAACCTGGGAGATCTACTGTCTAACAGCACAACTCAGTTCTTGAAATTTGGGTGGCCCCAGGCAGAACACCTCACCCTGAATCTGTTTCCCATCTGTATTGCACATGGCATTGATTCATAGTCCACGTCTGCCAAGTCCATATGGGCCTTCGTCCAAGCAGCATGGTGCACGCTGCAGAACGTTGCACACTGCAAAGCGTTTGGCCCTTGGGAAGGACTGAGGCCACAGATGCTTTGCTAAGAAAGCTGAGAGTGCAAATGGACAACATAAGACACCAGGGATTTAGGCTACAGGACAGCGGTCCCCAACTTTTGCAATTTGGCAGCCTGGCTGGGGGGGGGGGAGAGAGAGAGGAACTGGGCTGCGTGAGCGATGGGCAGGTGTGCATGTGCAGCTGGAGCTCGACTCGCGTGAGCGGCAGGACAGCACGCACGTACCTGGGCATGCAGCTCTACTGCAAGTGGAGCTGCGTGGACACGCACATAAACACCAGCCCATCGCTTGCATGAGTTGAGCTGCGCATGCACATGTCTGCAGTGGCCCACAGTCCGGTTGCGAATAGGCTGTGGCCCGGAGGTTGGGGACCCCTTCTGTAGGAGATGACAGTAGGAGAGAGGATTTAATCAAGGAGAGAAGCAACCTAGAACTAAGAAGAAATTCCTGATAGTTAGAACAATTGACCAGTGGAACAACCTGCCTCCAGAAGCGGTGAATGCTCCAACACTGGAGGTTTTAAGAAGAGACTGGACAGCCATTTGTCTGAAATGGTATAGGGTTTCCTGCCTGAGCAGGGGGTTGGACTAGATGACCTCCAAGTTCCAGGTTGCTTCTCTCCTTGATTGGTTTCCATCCATTGCTTCTTGTCCTGCCTTCAGGCACTTGTCCAACCCTTTCAGGGGGTTGGACTAGAAGACCTCCAAGGTCCCTTCCAACTCTATTATTCTATTGTGTTCTATTCTATTCTGTTCTGTTCTGTTCTGTTCTGTTCTGTTCTATTCTATTCTCAATAAAGGTTCTATTCTATTCTATTCTGTTCTATTCTGTTCTGCTCTGTTCTATTCTCAATAAAGATTCTATTCTATTCTATTCTATTCTATTCTATTCTATTCTATTCTATTCTTCTTCCTGTTTATATTCTATTCTATTCTATTCTATTCTATTCTATTCTATTCTATTCTATTCTATTCTATTCTATTCTATTCTATTCTCAATAAAGGTTCTATTCTATTCTGTTCTATTCTGTTCTGCTCTGTTCTATTCTCAATAAAGATTCTATTCTATTCTATTCTATTCTATTCTATTCTATTCTATTCTATTCTATTCTATTCTATTCTATTCTATTCTATTCTGCTTTCACAGTCAGTTCTTTGCACATACCACATGGTATTCTACTGCTACATCTAGTAAATTTGAAAGTAACTACAAAGTTACAGATTCCCAAGTAAGAACCTATTTATTTCACCACTGTCCCCTATAAAGTAGTCCTTGACTTACAACCATAAAAGACCTAACTGGAAAATAAACCATGATGCGTCTTTTTGAGCAAAATTAATACAAGACCCGGTCTAATTTTTGGGAAAATAGAGTTTGTAGGTCAGAGGCTTTTGCATCAAACAATGTAATGAGTCCATTGCATCAAATATTTCTCGTACATCCACAGCTAGCATGCTAGGGAGAAAATTGTAGACCAGCCTGAGCTTTAGAACGCAGAATACAGATTATTGGAAGGGAACTTGGAGGTCTTCTAGTCCAACCCCCTATTCGAGCAGGAAACCTTATACAAGTAGTGTGCTGCAGCTGCCAAAAAGGCCAACACAGTGCTGGGCTGCATTAACAGAGGGATAGAATCAAGATCACGCGAAGTATTAATACCACTTTACAATGTCTTGGTAAGGCCACACTTGGAATACGGCATCCAGTTTTGGTCACCACGATGTAAAAAAGATGTTGAGACTCTAGAAAGAGTACAGAGAAGAGCAACAAAGATGATTAGGGGACTGGAGGCTAAAACATATAAGGAACGGCTGCTGGAATTGGGTATGTCTAGTTTAACGAAGAGAAGGATGAGGGGGACATGATAGCAGTGTTCCAATATCTCAGGGGCTGCCCCAAAGAAGAGGGAGTCAAGCTATTCTCCAAAGCGCCTGAAGGCAGGACAAGAAGCAACGGATGGAAACTAATCAAGGAGAGAAACAACTTAGAACTAAGGAGAAACTTCCTGACAGTTAGAACAATTAACCAGTGGAACAACCTGCCTCCAGAAGTGGTGAATGCTCCAACACTGGAGAGACTGGACAGCCATTTGTCCGAAATGGTGTAGGGTTTCCTGCCTGAGCAGGGGGTTGGACTCGATGACCTCCAAGGTCCCTTCCAACTTTTATTATGATTATGATTATGATTTCCACACTTTAGATGACCCCAATTCCTTTATCATCATTCCTCCCAAAGTCTAATATTCCGGATACACATCTTATCTACATAAGTTCTCACCATCTACATCAACAAGTTAATAATGCAATGATAGTATAGAAGAAATTTTGGTTATTAACTTTAAGATTTTAAGGTACTTGAGAATTATTAGAGTATAAACACTTCCATTCCCCACCATCCAGTCAGAACCGAAGAAGCTTCTTGGAGGAGAAGCGAAACATCTTCAAAGAAAAACAAGAAAGTCCAGTGGCCTCCTGAAAAAAGCCCCTTTGGGACAACCATGACCTGGATGATGTTGTAAAAGGGGGCAAAACTCACTTAACCACCGTCTTGCTTAGCAACCAAAATCTGAGGATCAATCATGGTCGTAGGTCGAGGTCTACCTATAATCCAATTAACTGCCTGTGGAGATTCTCAGTCGTCCAGGTCACAGTTACCTCAAAAGTGCTTTTTCAAAAGGCAAATGGACTGTTTTTTTCCCTTGAGGAGGAAGAACGAGACGTTTTGTTTCTCAGCCAAGGGAAAACTTCATCCTAATAATAATAATAATAATAATAATAATAATAATAATAATAATAATAATAATAATAATAATAATAATAATAATAATAATAATAAAAAAACATCCACATCTGCCTATCCCAGGTCCTGGGAAAGGACTCGATAGGTAGACAAAATGCCAAATCCAGTCTGAACATCTGGCTGACTGTGCGATGATCCATAATAATAATAATAATAATAATAATAATAATAATAATAATAATAATAATAATAATAATAATAATAATAATAATAATAATAAAAAGTTGGAAGGGACCCCTGCTCAGGCAGGAAACCCTATACCATTTCAGACAAATGGCTGTCCAGTCTCTTCTTAAAAACTTCCAGTGTTGGCGCATTCACCACTTCTGGAGGCAAGGAGTTCCACTGGTTAATTGTTCTAACTATCAGGAAATTTCTCCTTAGTTCTAAGTTGCTTCTCTCCTTGATTAGTTTCCATCCGTTGCTTCTCGTCCTGCCTTCAGGCGCCTTGGAGAATAGTTTGACTCCCTCTTCTCTGTGGCAGCCCCTGAGATACTGGAACGCTGCTATCCTGTCCCCCCCTCGTCCTTCTCTTCATTAAACCAGTGAAAACTTTTCTACTAACCTTTGCAGCAAAGAGTATCCTGTGATCTCGAAGACCATCATGAGGCAGAGGTTGGTGTCCGCACACGGTCAACTCTCCGGAAAATCGGACCTCAGCCCACCTCACGGAAGCCACCAGTCCCTCCACCACTACCAGTACGAGAACGGCGCTCACATGCAGTTTGCCGCCTCAGATGCCCAGGATCTGCCACTTAACACCTTCACGGGACAGAGGGAATCTGGGCTCTTCTACCACTGTCTGAAACGGAGAGGTGAGGCAAGGGAATGAAACTGGGGGAGATCTTTTTGAACAGATTCATGAGGGGATCTTCTGCTGGAGAGGGTCAGGCTTGAGGCAGGCCTGGGATTTTTGACATCCAAGTAAAGAAACGAACTAGGCCTTTGGTTGGTAAGGAGCCTGCTGAAGCTTCCAAAGCTTCCTGATTGGCTGCAGAGCCTTGGAAGGGTTCCTGATTGGTTGGGATCGTGCTGAACCTTCCCAAGGGTTTCTGATGGGTTGGGATCAGGAACCTCTCCAAGGTTCTTCGTTAGCTGGGATCGTGCTGAACCTTCCCAAGATTCCTGATTGGTTGGGATTAGGAGCCTCTCAAAGGTTCTTCATTAGCTGGGATCGTGCTGGACCTTCCCAAGGGTTCCTGATGGGTTGGGATCGTGCTGAACCTGCCAAAGGTTCTTGATTGGTTGGGATCAGGAATATCTCAAAGGTTCTTCATTAGCTGGGATCATGCTGGACCTTCCCAAGATTCCTGATTGGTTGGGATTAGGAGCCTCTCAAAGGTTCTTCATTAGCTGGGATCGTGCTGGACCTTCCCAAGGGTTCCTGATGGGTTGGGATCGTGCTGAACCTGCCAAAGGTTCTTGATTGGTTGGGATCAGGAATATCTCAAAGGTTCTTCATTAGCTGGGATCATGCTGGACCTTCCCAAGGGTTCCTGATGGGTTGGGATCGTGCTGAACCTGCCAAAGGTTCTTGATTGGTTGGGATCAGAAACCCCTCAAAGGTTCTTCATTAGCTGGGATCGTGCTGGACCTTCCCAAAGGTTCTTGATTGGTTGGGATCAGGAACCTCTCAAAGGTTCTTCATTAGCTGGGATTATACTGAATCTCTCTAAGGGTTCCTGACTGATTGAGAGCATGCTTACTATTTAATTTTTGTTTGGCTTGTTCTTGAGCATTAGGAAACTGAGCTACTGCAATGAGATTATTTTTAGTAATGAATAAGCAGGATGGAGGAACAGAGAGGCAGATCAGCAATATGGTTACTATGCCGAAAGAAAACTAAATCGTTAATATTGCCAGCTCTACTACCCTTTGTCAGAAATAAATTAATTTGTGCCATTCACTTTCAACATAAGTGAGCCAGTCTGGTGTCACAGTGAAGGTGCTGGCTTAGAAACCAGGAGGCTTTGAATTCTAATTTTACCTTAGGTGTGAAAGCTGTCTGGGTGACTTTGGGCCAATCATCAGGAGACGGTGAGTTCTAGTCCTGCCTTAGGCACGAAAGCTGGCTAAGTGACTTTGGGCTAATCAATAGGACACTATGAATTCTAGTTTTACTTTAGGCGTGAAGGCCAGCTGGGTGACTTTCTGGCCAATCACCAGGAGATGGTGAGTTCTAGTCCCACCTTTTATGGCCTTAGGCGTGAAAGCTGACTGGCTTACTTTGGGCCAATCATCAGGAGACTGTGAGTTTGAGTCCTGCCTTAGGCACGGAAACCAGATGGGTAGCGTTGGGCCAGGTTCTCTGTCTCAACCCAAACTGCACCACAGGGTTATTCTTGTGGGGAAACAGGAGGAGAAAGGAGTAATAATAATAATGATGATAAAGTTGGAAGGGACCTTGAAGGTCATCTAGTCCAATCCCCTGCTCAGGCAGGAAACCCTATACCATTTCAGACAAATGGCTGTCCAGTCTCTTCTTAAAAACTTCCAGTGTTGGCGCATTCACTGCTTCTGGAGGCAGGTTGTTCCACTGGTTAATTGTTCTCACTGTCAGGAAGTTTCTCCTTAGTTCTAGGTTGCTTCTCTCCTTGATTAGTTTCCACCCGTTGCTTCTTGTCCTGCCTTCAGGCGCTTTGGAGACTAGCTTGACTCCCTCTTCTTTGGGGCAGCCCCTGAGATATTGGAAGACTGCTATCATGTCCCCCCTCGTCCTTCTCTTCATTAAACTAGACATTCCAGCAATCGTTCCTACTTTGAGTTAACCGTTTGTGTGTGTGTGTGTGTGTGTGTGTGTGTTTGTGTGTGTAAAAAAAGGCAGGCTACAAATCTAATAATAACAATTTAAAAAAGCATCTCAGGACAACTTATAACAGTTAACAAAACGTCTTGACCCCAGAACACTGTCAGATAAGAAAGGAGATATTTTCTGAACAACTCGATTTTTTTTTCCTTGTCCGGTGGGGTTTTTTTTTGGTTTTTTTTTTAATCATTCCTGGAGTAAGCCCTTACTTTTATCTTGAAAGATTTCCCCAGCCTCCTGAATAGGGCTCCTGGCAAATGTAAAACACCTTTGAACACAAGTATCAAAACACTGCGGCATGCTCCTTGTCAAAGTCTGTAAAAAGTCATGGCTGAATGCAAGAAAGCAGTGGGTCCCCAAGTTACTGAAATTCTCAGCTGATGGAACAAAATCCTGGAAATTAAGATTGTTAGGATTAGCTAGACCAGTGGTGGCGAACCTATGGCACGGGTGCCAAAGGCGGCACTCAGAATCCTCTCTGTGGGCACGCGCGCCGTCGCCCCAGTCCTAGGCCTTCAGCTGGGTTTTATAAAACCTTTTTGCTTTAGGCCTCCACTGCCGTGTGCAAAAAAAAAAAAAAAAGTTCAATCAATCAGTCAATTTCAACTTCTCGCAGGAAAAAAAAAGATCTTGCAAAGTTGGAAATGATTGATTGAACTTTTTAGTCCTACCCAGTCTGCCGTTACCACCGCAGCCACGCCCACCCAATGGGCCACACCCCCCAATGGGCCACACCCACCCGGCACCCGACGATGCATAAGTGAGTTTTGGGTTGCAGTTTGGGCACCCGGTCTCTTAAAGGTCCGCCATTGCTGAGCTAGACCCTGGCTGGGCTCTTCTCTCTCTCTCTCTCTTTTTTTTTTTTTTTTTTGCTAACGAGGAAAATCCTTTGAGGAACAAAAATAAAATAAAGGTGGTGAGATTCTGTGGATCTGGAAGTTCCTTAAGCAATTTATTATGTTCCAGATCAATTTTTTTAAAAAAATTATCCTACACAGTTAAGGACTAGCGGTAGTTCTTGATTACAACCATTTGTTTAGTGACTGTCCAAAGTTACAATAGCACTGAAAAAAAGTGATTTAAGTCCATTTTCAGCCTTATGACCACTGCAGCATCCCCCAGGGTCACGTGATCAAAATTCAGACGCTTGGCAACTGGCATGTACTTATGACAGTTGCAGTGTCCTGAGGTCATGTGATCCCCTTTTGCGACCTTCTGACAAGCAAAGTCAATGGGGGAAAGCCAGACTCGCTTAACATCCATACTACTAATTGAACAGCTGCAGCGATGCCCTTAAGAACTGTGGCAAGCAAGGTCGTAAAATGGGCCAAAAAATCGTTTAGCAACGGTCTTGCTGAGCCGTGGAAAATTTAGGCTCAGTGAGGTGGTCGTAAGTGAAGGACGATCTGTTCGTTGTAACTTTGAAAAGTCATTAAGTGAGCTGTTGTTAAATGAGGAACTATCTAGCCCAGAGGTCCCCAATCCTTTGGGCACCAGGGACCGGTTCCGTGGAGAGAGGTTTTTCTGCGGACCGGAGGGGGCGTGGTTTTGTGTGATGCCTGCATCTCGTGGATGGGCCTTTGCTTGTTTATGCGGACCGGTTGCTGGCATGCCGTGGCGCGGTATCGGTCCATGGACCGGGGATTGGGGACCCCTGACCTAGCCAATAAAAACCGAGAATTAAAAAAGAATTCTTTGCACCTCCACAGAAGGGGCCCGGCATCTGGACTTACCCTGCAAACGTTCGTATCTGGAACCGACCTCTTCCGCCGCAGAAGACCCCTACTTCCGGTCGCCTCCACCCTACGAACAACAGATGTTGAGCCCCCCGTATTGCGGCGAGGTGACCCCACGAGAAGCATGCATGTACTCCGGGTCTGAAATTGCAGGCGTGTCAGGGGTGGAAGATCTGCCGCCGCCGCCTCCTCCTCCTCCCCCACCTCCTCCCCCACCCCCTCCCCCTCTGAGCTGCAATATGTGGACCTCGGTGGCACCTTACACCAGCTACAGCGTTCAGACCATGGAGACTGTCCCCTACCAGCCCTTCCCCGCTCACTTCACGGCCACCACCATGATGCCACGCCTCCCACCCATAGCCGGTCAAGGATCGCAGACACCGGGCAACAGCCCTTTCACCGTCTATAATCAGCTCTCCCAACCCCGCGAGAGGATTCCCGGATCGCCCTTCCCCAGAGAACGGATGGGAGAGAGGAAGCTCCCGTCGCCCCACTTAAGTCCGGCCAACGAGTTTCTGTACTCCCAGACTTTCTCTTTGTCCAGGGAATCCTCTTTACAGTATCATTCAGGAGTCAGCACAGTGGACAACTGGACCGACGGATGATTCCACGTGTCGTCACGCGATTTCGATTCGCTGCTCCCGGACGGTTACTTTGATGTGAATATCCACGGATGCCTTGCACGCACACCGCAATCTACGCCGACTTGTGTTTCTGTGGGTGTTGGGGACTTTCTGCGCAACGCCAGAGGAACTCTGTTGGGAGGGGCGGTAGGGTCAGTTCGGTGGAAGAGGTTTGGCTTAGCAGCATGGACACACACCCCTGTCCCAGGGATCCAGTTGGGTATTTGCCTCTTAGAGAGACACATCCCTCTCTGAGTTCCTTTCAGGTGCAAAGAATCAGGATCACAGGTTAAGTTCCAGTTAAACAGATTTATTGCTCATTCCTAATTAATTAACATTCAGTACTAAATAGATAAAAAGTCAACGGAATTCAAGAGGGATTGGGCTTAGACCATTTGTGGGAACGTAACGATTCTAGGCTGATTCCTCTTTTGACTCTGCCTCTCCTTCTCTTCACAGTTCCTAAAATGCTCAAAGCTTCATTTGATTATCTGTCAAAACCAGGGTCTTCCACTCTATCCAAGAAAAGTCGAGAGACATAACTTGGGCTCCCAGATGTAAGGGCAGCAAAAAACCACAATTTTTTCCCCTTAGCTGCAGCCAATTTTACCTCTGGTTATTATCACTTACCAACAAAAAAAACAAGGCCAGTGTTTTTTGCTGGAAATTGTCAAGCGCGGGAAAATCAGGATCTCCAGGCAGTTCAAATAAATATAAAGATTTATTGCAGGTTTAAGCTCTCTACAACAATCTGAGCTACTAAAGGTCAAAGCAAATGGGCGGTAGATGAGAGTCAGTGGAATTTAAGGTGGGCTGAACTTACCTCTCTTGTGGGCATGAAGGGACTCCAGATTCATGAGAATAATAATAATATTAATAATAATGATGGGCTCCCAGTGGCTCAGCCTTGTCAACTACAACAGAGTTCCTCAATCTTTCCGGCTTGGTGGCCCGGCAGCAAAGGAAACAGCAGGGAAATGTGTGTGTGAACCCACTTTGGGTGCCCTTGGTTTGAAGAACAGACAGAAGACACACATACACACACATACACACAGGTACAATGCACTCCATTCCTGCTTAAACCTAAGCCATTTAGGGCAGGGGTCTCCAACCTTGGCAATTTTAAGACTTATGGACTTCAACTCCCAGAATTCCTCAGCCAGCCAAGCTGGCTGAGGAATTCTGGGAGTTGAAGTCCACAAGTCTTAAAAGTTGCCAAGGTTGGGGACCTCTGATTTAGGGTGCTAGGAGACTGGTCATCCAAAAAAAAAAAAAGAAGAGAGGGTGTTTTTAAAATGGAGTTGATTTTAAAAGTGTTAAATGGTTCTCCTCAAACGTTGTGGTGCAAGGTGCCTCCCCCACCCCCAAAAAAGTACCCAAGACACCAGATTTAATCCCCCCTCAAAGAACTTCCTGGATTAAACCTAACCCAAGCTGTGTTAAAAAAAAAAGGCAAAAATTTGGGCTGCAGCACTTTGCCTTCCGCGTTCCCAAGAGCAGAAATAAATCAGTGTTTTTCTGCCGTTTGTTTTTTTTTAAATAAGCCAAATTCTCAGCGATGCTAAATTGACTTGGATAAAACCAAAGAAATGTGAGGTCATGTTTTTCTAATTTCCTGGATTGCAGAGAATGGAATTTCCGTCCTTGGGGAAACACCCCGCTAACCCAAGCGACGTCTCTTAATCCATCCTTAATCTTGAGGCTCGACCGAGAACCGCAGAAAATTATTCCAGCTAATTATAAATACAGAAGCTGGGAATTTTGAAGTTGTCCCTCGGAGATATTATGTAGCCGTAGCTCATTCAGCAAAGGATGCAGGGACACCTAGTAAGAAACTCAGGTTTGTTATGAAATAGGGAAGACCCGCCTCAGATTTCCAGCCTGGGTTTGTACCGACATTCCTCGAGTTACGACCACAGTTGAGCCCCAAATTTCTGTTGTTAACTGAAACCATTGTTGAGTTTTGCCCCACTTTACAACCTTTTTTGTCACAATTGTTAGGTGAATCACTGCAGTTGTTAAGTCAGTAACCTGGCTTCCTCCAGTGATTTCGCTTGTCAGAAGGTTGCGACCGTCATAAATACGAGTCAGCTGTCAAGCATCCGAATTTTGATCACGTGACCACAGGGATGCTACAATGGCTGTGCAAAAAACGGCCGTAAGTCACTTTTTTCAGTGCTGTGGTAACTTCGAACAGTCACTAAATTAATAGCCGCGAGTCAAGGACTATCTGTATCGGAGAATTGGTTTAAATACTTTTAAAATGTGTTTAACCTTCTCTTTTTCTTGCAGGGAATTAGCCCCAAGGCAAAATCTTTCAAATTCTGAAATGTTCTGGGATGGGAATTTTCAAAACTCTCTGCCACTAGAAAGTTAGCACAGCAGGGAACAGATTTAGATGCTTTATCCTGAATTTTACAGAGCATTTTTTTTAAAATTGGGGAACCCCCTCAGAAATGGTTTCTAGCCAAGAATTTGCCTTACTTTCCATCCGAGCAGTGTGTTAAGCCAGGTCAACGCTTAGTAACGATGTTCACATCATAGGTTAAGCCTTAATTCATTTAACTATGGTTAGCAAAATAATCATAGATAGGCTTACACAATGTTTTCAGCTATAAACTCTGGTTTGATAAACAATACAGGCTGCGTTCACGTGTCACCCTATCCCAGAAACAAGCCCTGGATGTTTGGTTATGTGGTTTGTGTGAATCCATCTGCCGACTCTTTTGCATTAAGAAATGACCAGGGACAACCCAGGTGAAGCAGGTAAGAGGGGAAAAAATCAAGATGGTGGTTAAACAGTGTGACTGAAGCTCCACCCCTTTTTGACATGGGTTGCACATCTTGGGTGTGAGCGCCATCTTGACTTTTTTGACTTGTCTTGCACAGAGTGGATTCAGCTGATTCATTCCATACCAGTTTGGCATAGTGGTGAAGGCACCAGGTTAAAAACTGTGAGTTCTAGTCCCTTCTGAGGTACAAAAGCTGGCTGAGTCACTTTGAGCCAATCACCAGGAGACTGTGAGTTCTAGTACCGCCTTAGACATGAAAGCTGGCTGGGGGACTTTGGGCCAATCACCAGGAGACAATGAGTTCTAGTCCTGGTTTGGGCATGAAAACCGTGTGGATTACTTTTGGACCAATCACCAGGAGACTGTGAGGTCTAGTACTGCCTTAGACATGAAAGCTGGCTGGGTGACTTTGGGCCAATCACCAGGAGATGGTGAGTTCTAGTCCCGCCTTAGGCATGAAATCCAGCTGGGTGACTGGGCCAATCACCGGGAGATTGAGAGTTCTAGTCCCACTTTAGGCATGAAATCCAGCTGGGTTACTTTGGGCCAATCACCAGGAGACGGTGAGTTCTAGTCCTGTCTTAGGCATGAAAATCAGCTGGATGACTTTGAGCTAGTCGCTCTCTCTCAGCCCTACCGACTTCACAGGGTTCTTGTTATGGGGAAAATAGAAGTAGGAACGGATATCTGGTTGCTTTCCACCTTGCGTTATTTATAAAAATAACAAAGGCAGTATAAAAATAAATAAACAAAATACACATGTAGTAGGGATCTTCAGTGCTCAGAAAACCATACCAGTCGAACAATACTCTTCAAAGCATCCAACGTATGGTAGCTTGGCTGGAATTACTCTCATCCCTGGCTTTTAAAGAAGAATTAAAGATGGAAAGTTAATACACGATCTAAGCAACTTTTGAACGTCTTAAAAATTCCAAGTTTTATCAAGGTTTTTTTTTTTGGGGGGGTCACCCAGATTGATTCAGTTCATCCTTTCACAGGAATCTGTATAGTAAGGAACAAGTCAGCAACAGAAAGTACCTTTTTTGGGGGCGGGGGAAGGATTTTTTTTTTTAAAAGTCATTTTCCTGTCATCAAGGTTGCTAAAGAAAGGGTTATTTTTCATACAGAAGATTTAAAAAAAAGAAAATAATAATCAAAATTGGGGCATCACCACCAATGTTGCATGCTGAATAGTTATTTATATATCTATATATCTTTATATAAAAATATGTATTATCTTTCTCACAAACGCAGGCCCACGTGTTCCATTCAGCTTTGCTCTTTGTACGATAAAATTCCTAGTAAAAGAATGAAATGATGTTGCAAGGAGATTTTTTTTTAAAAAAATAAATAAATAAAAAAGAGAGCTATTTAAGCATTCCCCCTCCCCCCCCATTATTATTTACACCATTCTCTGTTGTAAAAAATTAAGATTTGGTTACATAACATATATATGCTACAGATAAATCTCTATTAGAAACCAAAAGAGATTTTTGTTTGTTTGTTTTTTTCTTTAAAAAAAACACCTGTCATAATATGAACTTTTTATTTTGCATATCGGTACATAAAAATAACTGCTACAAATTGTCTGCGGGTGGCTTTCACTGACTAGAAGGTAGATTCTGGGGTTGCGGTTACTCAATGGAAACTTCCTTGAGTAAATTTTGTTTTTTGTTTTTATTTAAAAAACCAAACCATTGGGGAATTCACTTGTAACATGCAGGACTGTTTATTCTGGTCCTCGACTTACGACCGCAATCGGGATCAGAATTTTGATTGCTAAACAAGGTGGTTTTAAGTGAATCGCATCTGATTTTACAACCTTTTTTTTGCCACCGTTTTGAACAAATCACTGCAGTTTTTAAGCCAGGGGTAGGCAACCTCGGCTCTTTTATGACTCGTGGACTTCAACTCCCAGAATTCCTGAGCCGGCATGGCTCAGTATGGAAACCTCTCCATTTCTCCTCAGCATGGCTGGCTCAGGAATTCTGGGAGTTGAAGTCCACGAGTCATGAAAGAGCCAAGGTGGCCTACCCCTGTTTTAAGCGAACCATACGGTCGTTAAGTGAATCCGGCTTCCCCTTTAACCCCTTTGCTCGTCGGAAGCCAGCTGGGAAGGTCGCAAAAGGAGATCACATGGCCCCGGGACACTGTGACCGTCATAAATATGAGTCGGTTGCCCAACGCCAG